TAATCTAGCCAAATGTGAGTTCGGAAAAGCCACTGTCACTTACTTGGGGCTGTTGGGGATGTTTTTCCAGTAATTGCTAAAGTGGCCGCTATTCAAGAGTTTCCGGTGCCTTTGCGATCGCCGTGCACTACGCCGATTCTTAGGAATGGTAGGCTACTATCGTAGTTTTTGCAAGAACTTTTAAACTTTAGTTGGCCCCCTCACTAAACTATTGAGCCCCCAAACTAAATATGACTGGACGGAGTCCTGTAATAGAGCGTTTGAAAACGTCAAAGCTCTCTTGTTGACTGCTCCTGTGCTGGCCGCGCCAGACTTCAACAAACCATTTCAGCTTGCTGTAGACGCCAGCAACGTAGGTGCCGGTGCCGTACTTTTACAATCAGGTGCAGACAACATAAACCATCCCGTGAGTTTCTTCTCTAAGAAATTTACTTCTGCCCAGCGAAAGTACTCCACTATCGAACAAGAGAAAAAAATTGTCTTTATTATGAAGAATTGCGTGTGTCTTTATTGATTTGGAAAGTTCTAAAATTTCATGGCCTGTGCGGCCTATATCTAGATTAGTTAAAAAAAATAAAAATAAAAAAATGTTCAGTGTAATTCAAATTTATCTTCATGCAGGTACCCCTCGGTCGGAGGTAATAATTATTTGTAGCTGGAACTCTATTCCCTGGGGTTGGTTCGAACAGAGGGCTGAACACCGAACAAAGAGTTTTCATATTCAATGTACATACCATTTGTTGAATTCGGTCGAGATACTAGGACCGCCCGTAACATAGGTTGGTCAAATATACAGTCGCCCCTTTTTATTACCTTTTCTTAGATCTTTATCTCTTTACTTCGTAACCACCACTTTTTTTTACACTTGTAACAACACTGTTATCTAATTTTTTAGAAAACGTTAAAAAAAAGTTGTAGTAAGTTAAAGTAATTTAATGGTAATAACCTGAAAGCGTTGTGCGTGGCGGAAAGTCTGCGGCCAGGGTAGCAACAAACACCAGAGCTGGTGGCGTAACACCGGCAGAGGGAGAATGAGAGTAAATGGCTGTAGTAACAACTGTCACCAGCAGAGGGAAAACAAGAGTAAATGGCTGTAGTTACAAATGTCACGAGCAGGGGGAGAATGAGAGTAAATGGCTGTAGTTACAACTGTGACCAGCAAGGGTAAAAAGAGAGTCAAAGCCTGTAGTAACAACATTCACCAGCTGCAGAAGAAAGGGTCAAAAGGCTGTAATCTTAAACTGTCGCCTCCTCCGAACGCGGTCGAGGGACGCAGCCCCCCAGGAGTCGCTTTTGGAGGACACATCTGATTTATCCTTTGTGGCCCAGCATATCCCAGCATCCAGTGCCGGCTGACAAGGATTTAATTTATTCAGGTCGGAGACAGGTGATCCGACAGCGAGGAAGAGTTCACTTTTACATGTAACGCTATGTAATAGAATTCATTCGAATATCTACCGATAGAAATGTTATATTATAATATACATCATATAACATCATATCCTAGTTTATGAAATCACTTAAGTTATGTGACGTTGGTAACCGATGTCGTGTTTTTAAATTCACATTCACAAGACTTTAGAACAAACTTCTCTATAATAACGTTAACTCCGTCCTACTGCCCCCCACTCCCCCCTCCCATAAAGCCTGTGACTCACCTGAACCCCCCCCTGGGTCCATGCTGCTCACGTTACCAGGAGCCGCTGCGCTGTTAACAGCTCGTCTGTAGTTATTGTGAAAAGTCACTTTAATAACTTTCACACTTTAGAGGTTAACGCTGTGACTGTTTTATATATAGTTTATACTTCATATTATGAACAGAAGTGGATCAAAGTGAGCACATGTAGAGTTAAGAACCTGAAATATCACTTTCTAAGTCAGTGATACAGAATTAATACACAAAAAAAACAGAACTTGCTTTGCTCCTTTTGTTTTGTGGTGTGATTATTAACTAACTTTACATTTAGTTGTGTTTTATGGAGCCAGTGTTAATTTTGTCGATGAAAACTATGACAAAAAATGTTCGTTGACGACCTTTTTTCCAAGACTAAGACGAGACTAAGAGGTGACGAAAACAATCTTAAAAAATAAAAACTATGACTTAATCTATTCTAACTTTCGTTAACGAGACGCGACGAAAAGATTGGTGGTTGACAAAGTCACAATATTTCATTCCCCCCTAAATTTGCATGCACCTAACAGACAGGCAAAGTGCGGCCCGGTACGGCGGATATTAATGCGTCATGATGACGTTATCCACGAACCCAGAACGCTTCTCCAAACACGTCTAACATAATAAACTCATTGCAGGTTCTGAAGCCTCACGCATTGACTATAAGACACACACATTTCAACTTTAGTTCACACGCCACACACGAGAAGACGGTGTTAAACCGTCTCGGCCACCGTACGTTCGTTACTAAGCAACATAGAGGCGCCAACACGCGTGACAGGTGAATCCTTTTGATAGAACTGCGCAGTGCAGGTGAAGGATGTGGCGGCAAAGAGCAGGTGGAGGAAAATCCACAGGACACGAGAGAAGTACTGGTCATGAAACCGAAAAAATAAACAAAGAGACAAAGAAAAGACTGTTGAACGAAAAGTGGGGGTCCAGTTTAGAATGGCTGTTTTAAGATGCAGCCAAGAAAATAATGTATTGCAACGATTGTAGGACGTTAAGGGGTATCTTTTGTTGGGACAAGCAATTTCACAGTGGAAACAATAAAGGACCATGAAGTTTCCAGTGGCCATGTCAAAAGTATTGCAAGTAAACAGACAAAGACAACAAAAGTGTTGCGTTTAGATCCCTGGTCCTCATGAAGTTGTTACACCCTTGCCAATTTGTTAAATTGCCTTGCAAATAAATGCTTTGTTATTTGTTAAAATCCAAGTCCTGTCATGTAACAATTTTTTACATGTCATTTTTATCAGCTCACACAAACACTTCAACCATTTGTTCTTGGCCCGGCTTCTCCGTCAAATTTTACAACCCATTGTGGCCCGCGAGTCAAAACGTTTGCCGCCTCCTGCTATAGACCTGTCCTAGGAGGGACATCTAATGGACAACCAAGTACTGCAAGCTAGACTATTATGCAGTTGTACCCACAACACAGGGGGTCCCTGGGCCTGAGAAGGGAAGAAAATTAGTTTAATATGGCTATTAAATGTGACTAAAACTAGACTAAAACTAATTACATTTTAGTGTAGTTTACGTCGACGAAAACTAGACTAAAACTAAGACGGATTAAAATGACTAAATGTGACTAAAACTAATATGCATTTCGTCTAAAGGCATCAAGCTGAAGGAGAACAATATGTGTGTATTGACATTAGGCTACTGTAGCGTGGACTTGTTAATATTTTTTGTTGAAATAGTTGAAATAGGTTGTATCCTATGCAAGAAAGAAAGAAAAATACCTTGCATACAAGTTAAAAAATATGTTTGCCGTTGTGGTTTTTATTGACAACATTGATGGAATCTCCTCTGCCTTAAGATTGCAATATTACTTTAAGCTGAAAGTAATTATACTGTAATTATACTGCTGACTGTATCGGTGGGGAGGGGGCGGGGGGGTGACGGCTGTTGTGGAATATTTCAATAAAAGCTCGGTAGAAGAGAATGATTTGTCTGATAAAACAGAGTCTTGATGAATGATCAAAGTTGCAAAAAGTCCATTTATTGCTTGCAAGCAGGAGGTCAAATACACAGGCACGTATCACGGTGCACTGTGGAAATGACGTCTCCGAGCAGTAAGAACGCAGAGTTTTTATACACATATGAAGGACATTCTCCGTGCCCGTTACGAGAAGCTGCAAAGCAGGTTGAGATAAGAACCCAGGTGAAGCTGAGGGTAGCACACACACACACACAAGATCCTCCTCAGTGGCCGGTGCAAATCATTGTTACTTGACATGAAAGTAAAACTTGGATCCAGAACTTTCGTACAGAATAAGATATAAACCAAGGCCATGAACAGGAGTCCATTGTTTTGAAGCTTCTATGAGATCGAGTCGACTGCACTCCCTTCTCAGGGCACAGCTGCAAACTAACATTTTGTATCATGCTGCTCTTTGCACATCAGGGTCAAATACAGGACACTTGAGACACGGCTTTAGCACAAAACAATGTTATAACATTTTACCATTACACGGCGTGGATAACTGCAGTACTGTACTAATCATACTGTAGACAGCGCAGTGTTGTGGAAACCCAAAAATGTCTGGACACAGCTAGTTGCAGCTGGCTGTGTGTGCGGCCTAGCATATCCCAGCATGCAGTGCGGGCCGACAAGGATCTAATTTATTCAGGGCGGGTGATCCAACAGTGCGAAAGAGTTGAGTTTTAAATGTAACGTTAAGTAATAAGCTGTGTCTCAAAGTCGCTAGGCTGCATCCTTGTAGCCGTCTTCAGCAGGCTTCACAGTAGACCTGGGCTGGGTCCTCCAACAACCGCATAGGCCGAACCAAGTGGTCTGGCTCACAGGGGGGACTTCCTGCTGGTTTACATGCACTAACCTACATGTATCACAACTCAGACAGAGACCCAAACGCAGATATGGGGAATAAGGGTTTTATTGAAGAGGAATTTGGGCAGGCAGTGTCGTTGTCGGAGGCAGGCAGGAGTTCGGTGCACGGGAGATCAGGGGTTCAGAGGTGGCAGGCAGTGTCGTTGTCAGAGGCAGGCCGGAGTTCGGTACACAGGACGTCGGAGGTACAGAGGTGGCAGGCCGTGTCGTTGTCGGAGGCAGGCAGGGGTCAGTACACAGGGAATCTCAAGAATCGGCTGGAAACTACTGGAAACTACTGGGATATAACGCTGGTAAGACCTGGTGAAACACACAAGACGAACTGGCAACAAGAACAGGGAGAAGACACAGGTTATATGCCCAAGGGATAATTGACAAACAGGGAACACCTGGTGTGGGACGAGACAGGGGAAAAACAGGTGAAAACGGGTGAACACAATTAGGGCGTGACAACATGAAAGAATGATACGTGTTTGCAGTGGACGTATTTAGGCCAGGGAATGTAGAGCAACCCCCCCCCTCCCCCACCAGGAAAAAAGATTTGTTAATTTTAAGATTCAAAGAACCGAATCAACTTCCCATCACAAGGTCTAATCCTTGCTAGAGAAGTTGGGTTTATTGATGAACCGAATGAAGACACATAGGACAAATCTTGGTGAGTAGACAATGATTATTTTTATTTGACTAAAAGCGGATCAAGAAATTGCTTTCCAGAAGAAATGAAATTTTAATTATCAATAAATGCACTAAAACCAATTTGAATACTTTATATTTTGATTTGAAAACCTAAAGGAAACAAATAAAAAGGCTTATTGTAGCCTGCGCTAACAACATTCTTTCTGTGTTGTGTCACACAGTCTGCACTCACAAGAGGTGATGTGCTTGTAGGTGAACGTTTTTTCCTCTCTTTTGTTGGTCACAGGGTGGTAGCATATTGCAAAAAATGTTTTCTTCTCCTGACAGCAATTCTTCTGTGCATACACCTTCAATATACTGCCTACCTTTATGCTGTTGCAGTAAGCCGAGGTATCAAAGTGAGGAGGGAAGAGTGGAAGGGAAGGGAAGCAAAACATGAGAAAGAGGTATTAAATATATGTATATATGATTTATTTATTCTACTAAAATGGTGAAATTTCTTAATTCAGACTTTTTTTCCAACAGGATTGTTTCAAACTATATTCTGGAAAAAACTATAACATTTACTTTTAATAAAATTCTGCATTTGAATCATTATTGTATTATTATCACAAAAAAGTAACATCTCATAAAAGCAACTGAACTAATTTCATTCAGTTTATTTAGTTTGTACGACATAGCGTACCTCTATTGGTTCTTTTCAGTGAACTCTAGAAAATAAAGTGTGTGGATGTTCACAGAATACGTTGTTTACTTTTCAGAACTAAACTTACCACAGCCCATGTTTTTCTTCCAGTCACCAATTACAACACCAACACCGGCGCAGGCTTTGGCGTAGCTGGCAAGACCAATACACAAGGCCTCTTTCTGACTCCTGCCAGAGTTACATATTCTTTGAATGCAAGCCTGTAAAAAAAGTAATTAATATGTTATTTTCTTAAACTCCCAAACTTATAAAGGATTTGGTATGGGGCAAAACGCTTGTTACCTTATAGTAGTAAGCAGTTGGGATATGAGGGTGGCCCTGGGCAAATACCCCAGTTGGTTGGTTCAACACTGCACACTTTTCATGAGCATAATTCTCTACAAAAACACATTGAAATTAATGAATTTTATATCTCTGGCTTGCATATTTGTATCATATCACAAGTAAGCTAGTCAACAAATTTCAATGTTTTAAAACTAAAGTCTTATAATTTGTATAATATTCTAAATGACTTCTCAGCCCTGATCGGTAGACAAATCAAATATTGAGTGTGACACACTAGTGCAGTGGCCCTTCTAAAAGGTGCCATATAAGAAGAAGCCCATTGCTGGGCCTCTGGTACTGCTACACATCCCACTGTGCTTCCTTGTCCTGGGTAATAATCCAACTGCTATGACATACAAAATTGCAATACGTAGCAATGGCAAAGTAAACTCAACCTACTGTGTAAATATGCACTACCCATGAATATATCCCCTTCTCTTAAAACTGGATTCAAAGTCGTCCTCAAAATCATGCAAGTGTTCTGTCAATTGAATGAGTAGTTCTCAAAAAAAATCAAAGAACATGCATACAGAGATAATCTCAAATATACACATTTAAATTATAAATTCGTACCATTTTCACGTTTGGTGCAGGTAGTGGGTATGTTCCCTTGACAATTCCCCATAATCCAGGAGAGAGCAAATAGTTGAACTGAGTTCGGAAAGAACCCGGTTTCGGTGGTGAAGTCATCTGTGGTGTTCCTGTTGCTATTACCACAAAGACCTAAAAGACATACTGGCTAAGTTTACAAATCATACTGTATCATGCCACAGAAAATATAATGTATTTCCTTGATTCATTTCAGTTTATTCATTTAATCTTAAACGCTAATTTAAAGGTCATAATAAAAGTGAAGCCCAAAGTGAAAAGAAGATCCTGAAGCAAATATATTTGGGCCTGTCTGTAAACTGTGGTCCGCACCTTCAATCTTGTCATCGGACTTGGATTGGTTAGGTGCGTCGATGAACAGCTGGATTTCAGGGGACAGCTGAATTTGAAAAATAACCGGAGTTGTGTGGACCTGAGACGTGAGACACCAGTAAATCTTAGCATACTACAGGAGAGATTCAGTAATAATGGGTGGCCGGGTAAATTGAGCCGATGACGAATGGATTGCCAGGCAACTAGACGTACTACACATTTAAAATGAATTCCAGCCAAATAATGTAATTAACTATATTTCCTCACAAGTTTCCTGGAACTGATGAAATTGTGTGATCTCCTGCCAATTCCACAAAACCTTGTTCTTTCTGAATACAATCAGTTCCTGCAAAAAAAAGGTGTTTTTATTCCATGATAGCACACTACTGTTGCAATACATGTGTTTGAAAGATTGTGTTATTTTAAATTATTCCTCAAGACTGCTTGTACCCCTGGGAGCCGCACGACAACCTTTCTAAGATAGAGTCCTTTTCGCGAAAAATGTATTCTTATTCTCCAGCTGGGACCCTTTAAAGTAAAAGAGTAGTTAATATCATGAAAAGAATACATCTATATTCTGTGTCTCTTACATGTTGGGGAATTGGCAAAAATTACCTTTGAAGCTAAATATGCACATTTGTAAGGAAGGACATATTTTTTTCCATCGAATGTTGTAACAAACGGGACTTCAATGACACATCTTCTGTGGCAAAAATTCTCTGAGCATCGCCATACCACACCATGACACGTACTGTGTGAAAATAAAACCTAAATTAAAAACTTTGAATAGTTCATGTTATTGAACATAAACAGAGGTAAAGCAGCAGTATATATGCCCATTTTTTTTGCTGGGGATCATCGTGTGTGTTTAAAATAAAGTTTGAAGTATATTACCATGAGTGACACTTGGAACGTCGTATTTCTCCGTTTCTGTAACTCTTGCCAGCAAACTCACAAGAGCAGTTGGACCAAGGAATACAGCGATAGCCCTTTGCACCATTATTCAAAACTTTACCTAAAATACAAATAACATGTTATTAGGCTCATTGAGGCTAAACAAGCTATGAAACTTTTAGAGAGCTACATCATAAAGACGTATTGTGCTCTTTCACCCTCTGGACAGGCACAGCTTTCAGTGAGTTCCTGGTAGAAGGGTAGAGGTTTCGGGTTGGAGCAGCTGGGAATAACTGCTGGACCCTTTTCCCTATAAATCAGGTCTCCTGGACACCTCGGTTCTGCTGCATTAAAGCACAGAAAATGGGCAATAACATAATGTGTTCTTCTCCAATGAGTGTCCTATAATACCAATCTTTTTTTTGTTGTTTTGTTGTTTGTTTGTTTTTGAAGAGTGCTTACCACATTTGGTTAAACGTCTCCAAAATCGGTTGATTCTTGTTTGGTTACACTGGCTTGCAAATTCTTTGAAGAAAGGACAGAAGACGCTCTGGTTGTTTTCAAAGCCAAAAATGTTCTCTTCACAGAGTCGCTGATAGTGAGAAATGTTGTATTGCACACAGTCCTTGATTTCCTGAAAGAATTGACGGCATATCTGCAAACACGAGGAAATTACTTGAAAATCTGGAACTAGGACACATACTATGGATTGTTCAATTAATTTGTGAGTCTCAATCTTAAAAAATAAATCTTCCACCAATGATGTAGAAAAGAACAGAAGAAAATGCAGATTATCCGGCTGCTGTGTTTATGTTTGTAGTTATGTAGTGAAATCATTACTGATCTTAATATTATTTCTTATTTTTTCATGGGTTTATTTTCCACCTGCTATGTCTATGTATTCTATTGTGTTCTATTTTTCTTATTTTAATTAAGCGTCCTCTTTTTCCTATGAGTCCTTAATGAATTAATAAATGAGTGAAAAAAAAAAGATATTAGTAGGTAGAAAAGAGCGTTACCAATAGCATACTGGAATCTAATATCACAGCGTGAACTTGGCTGTGTTTGAAATGAGTTAATCATTACAACTGTTAACTTACATCATTTTTTTGCAACACAGGACTGCTGGTTTTACATTTGTGGTCATGAAGCTTGCTGTCTCTGATCAACTTGTCCCTGTGGCCTGATGTCATGAAAAATGTACATTGTTAAACCAAACTGGACGCAAACAAATGTTTGGCTATTTGGCTAAATCACTATTTATACCACTTTCACCACCACCAAAACAAATGATTGCAGCTGCTCCTGAAATGACTGCTTTCAATGTTACTACTTCTATATTACAACAATCAATGTCTCACTTCCAGTCAGTTAATAATACCTGCAATGTTTTGTTTTCCACACAGCCCAGATGTGGTGGTGTTCAGTTCCGACTCCAATGTCACCTTTAACAACAAGTTTAAACAAATGGGCTTCAGTGAAATTAGTGTTGCATGTTCCAACTAACTTGAGACATTGATTATGCCTGCATGCATTTATCTTACTGTGATTTTGCTCTTAAAAGTGTGTTGAGCCGACTGTATAACGTCAACTTACCCACAGAGAGTTTATTCCCCCATGTACATTGTGCCAGGTGACAGTAAAAGGAAGCAGCGAGCTCCTCAGTCTACTGTAGATGCCGTATTTAAAGATATGCTGGTATTTTCGGTTGCATGGATGGGTTACCCTATCAAGACATAAACATCGACTGTTATTAAATATTTGGTGTACTAGAGAAGTACAAGTACTACATTGTTAAAATACTGTTTTAAAAATCCTGCAGTGAAAATTGCATATAAGTAAAAGTATTGGAGTACAATGAGGATATATTTCAATTCAAGTTTTAAAAGCAAACACTGCTGAAAAATCCAATCAATGTAATGTATCACAACGTTTAATACATCTAAAGGAAGAAGAAAAATGTCTTTTATTCCTCAGCTAATCAACATGCTACTCTTAATTTCAAATGCTGTGTGTCTAAAAATCTAAAAAAAACTAGGAACTGAAGTTTTCAAATAATTGTAGTTGTGTAAAATGTGCGTTTTTGCTAGATGAAGAGTTGTGGAGGATGTGGTCCAATAGTTAAATACATGTACCTAGTAACAATGGACCATTGGATAAAAATACAGATACAGAGAAAATGCGTTTTAACATTGAATACATTAATAGTCTTTTTCACCAATTGTGACCACCACTTGACATAAAACAGGTGTTTGTTTTTACTTTAGTCGCTGTCTTCTCCATTGGTGGCGGTCACCCAAACCAGTTTTCTCCCTGAGCTCAAACTTTTTGTTCTTCACCACAACGTGGCCATTCTGCAAAAGTGTCGTGACTTTGTTGATGATGATCTCGACTTGGACCAACAGCCCGTTGTGACCTCGCCGTATGGTGACAGAATATTCCTTCCCGTTGACAGTGAAGCTTATGAGTATGAACTGGCAGTCGGACCGAACATAGTAACTCTCCCCCTTAAAAGGCTGGACGATCCCGCTGCCAAATGTCCTGCAAGTGTCTGATCACAATTGAGGGATTAAAGTTAGACAATAAGGACAAATAAGTAAATGAAGTGACTTTATAATGTTGGATTAAGATTTGAATGTTATGGTCAACGTGTATTCGATTTTCCTTTCCCAGTGCAAGGAATACTATCATTGAATTCCGAATATGATTTTTAAGACTGCCTTTTTTTAAATAAATAAGCCAAATGCTTAAACTTTTATTTCAATTCTAAACAACATACCTAAACCGTTATTATCCGATATACACAACCCTACACATTGCAATGGTCAGTGGAATTTGTTTGTTTGGTTTGTTTTCCATCCATTCATTGTCAAACCGCTTATCCTGCACATAGGGTCGCAGGGGGCTGCTGTTTATCCCACCTAACTAGCGAGAGACCAGGGTACATCCCGGACGCTAGCCAATCGCAGGGCTAACACAGAGACATACAACCATTCACACTCACATTCACATACCTACAGGCAATTTTGAGTCTTGGTTTGTATTGCAAAAAGCAAATAGCAAAAATGTGATCACAAAAGGAACTTTAAGAATTAATTAGTGAAAACCTGAAAATAATAGTAGTCAGTACTTACGACATATAATACAATAATGTGAAAAAGTAATCTGGGTAGTGAACTGATAAATATAATGATTATATACATGATTGATTTGTACTCACAAGTCTGAGTTTCGTTGGTCTTGAACAATTTCACTGTGCCAAAAACTAGAAGAAAAATACAGTGACATTATGTAAGTAAACATTAATTATGAGGGAAATTTAGGAATAATCACTCCTCCAATCACTTTGCCGCTAATTTCAGAGCCATTTTTCAAAACTCTTGATGCAAAACTCACCCAATGATCAAATTGCATATTTTTCAAAACTCTTCAAAACTTTTTTTCAATTGCTTGTATAAAATACACAAAAACTAAAGATCATTTGTTCATTACCTAAAATCACCTGTTCAATATGACTCAATGTAAGATCAAAGTCCTACTATTTCAAAATGCCATTCCAATGCTACGGTTGAAATGATTGTCCATTCATTTCATTACAATGATCTATCAATTGATGCAACATCTCAAAATTATAAGTACTTGCTGCATAACCCTGCAGTGCATAGTTTTATGAGGTTTCAAAATAGTGAGATCCATTTACACCAATTAGCGGGGAACATCATTGTCGTCATCATCATCATTCTCTTAACAGACACTGTTTCTACGGTCCCATGTACCACTTTTTCAGACCATGCTGCAGGCCCTTGTAAGTCCAAGTACCATGACAACGTGGGGCGAAACATCACCATGTGTGCAGCTATGTCTGAAGATGGTGTGGTAGGGCGCAGGGCTTGCATTGGCTCATATAATGCAGCTCTCCTTGTAACCTTGCATGACCTAGATCAGGTCTGTAGAGGTGATGGTGTGACCGATATCATTGTGTGGGACAATGTTAGGTTCCCCCATGCTCAAATGGTGCAAGCATGGTTTCAGGCCCATGCACAATTTACCAGCCTGTATTTGCCCGCATATTCTCCTTTCCTTAACCGATTGAGGAATTCTTCCCCTCATGGAGGTGGAAGGTCCAATAGATGCCCTCCCGAACAAATAACCCTTCTCCAGGCCACGGATGAAGCATGCGACAATTTCACGGCAGACCAGTGTCAGGCCTGGATTCGTCCTGCCTGAAGGTTTTTTCCAAGATGTTTGGCTAATGAAACCATCCATCATGATGTGGATGACAATGTGGCCAGATCCACAAAACCGGGTTGATGAAAATGTAGATGGATGGTAGTCAAACCTTTTTTTCCCTCCCTGGTGGAGAACAGCAGAGTTTTTTTCTTGTTTTCGCAGCTGTTTCTTGTTTACCTGTGCACTGTTGTCTTGTCTGTCTACTGTCGCGCACTAACCGCCAAGACAAATTCCTTGTATGTTTGACATATTTTGGCCAATAAATGTTTCCTGATTCCTGATTCCTGATTCCTAATTACTCTATTTTTGCTTTCAATAAATGTTGTGATTTTATTGTATTTCATAACAGTCAAATTTTGTTCAATGATTCCACTGCGTCTGTACTATTCTTTCTACTACATTGGTACTTTTACAGGGATGTCTTTACATTTAATACAATAATGAAACCTGTATCCATTTTGTACAGCAATGTGGAATGATTGTACAAACAACCAAATTGTGAAACTATGGGTATCTTGTGTGTGGGTGATGAAAATTAATGTTCCCATGATAAATCCATCATATTGTTTTACCAGGAAAGTATTTATATGTGTAAGCAGAGACAAAAAATTGCAGCTACCTCTTTTAGTTGATCAAAAGTTGAAATGTTCATAATTGGCATAAATGGTTTTTGTCAGTGTGTGTCATTTATTCTACAACAGTGCATCATATTTTATTTATACATTTATGATTTGTTTTATTTACATATTTTAGATTTGTACGGGAACCACTCACGGAAACTAACAAGTCAAATAAAGTATTTTTGATAGTATAGCATAGGTATAAGGTAGCATGAGATTGAAATATATAGCTGCAATAATTACCGTGAATTCCAGACTACAGAGGGCACCTGAATATAAGCCGCACCACCTAAATTTAGAACGGAAAAAAAAGTTGCAGGGGTCCACGCAGCAGAAAAAGGACTACTGACGGAGAGTCGTCCGTGCCGGAGTTCAAATTCGCGCCTCCAACGTATCACCATTGATTCATCAGAGCTGCCAACTCTCACGGTTTTGTCGCGTGACACACGCTTTTGCATGTGTTCACACGCACTCACGCCACGCCACACATATAGACCAATATCTCAGGCTAAAAAAGAAGGACCTCGGTCCGAGCCACGTTGGTTCCTCTTCAATCTCGACTGTAGGTGCCCCCCCGTCGACCGTATTGTTAGCGCCACCCCCCCACCCCGTCAGCCGTATGACCACCCTCGACAAAATCTCACTCCATTATTATTTGAGGCTCTGATTCATTAATGGGAAGTTTACGTGCAGCCGCTCGGTTTCCTTCTCCGACAGCCAGATTGGTTGCCCGTAACTTGCCCCTGTCTGTCTTGCTCTAGAACGTTAGCACGTACAAAATTATACATTAGCCACACTGTTGTATAAGCCCCAGGATTCAAAGCGTGCAAAAATAGTAGCGGCTTATAGTCCCGAATTTACGGTCTACAGTAAATCTTTCTTCTACTTACTCATGTAGTGAAAACATCACGAAAAACATCAAATCATTGAGTTTAAATATTGTATTTTATAATTTTGCAGTGGAAATACCTGAGGCCAGTGAAAAACAGAATGCCAGAATCCATCGCTGGGTTGTCATAATGCCTGATGCTGCAGGAGCGCAGTTGAAACAAACAACCCACCACATGGCTTATATGTGCCCCGCTCATACTCATTCACACAATATACAAGGAAAGTACTGGAAATAGAAAGAAAGTCAAATTAAACATTGAACTTAACATATTCATTTAAAACACAATGTGATCTGCCAGAAATAAGAACATCCTGTAAATATTTAAGTCACCCACCACACATAATAGGTAAAGTATAAAGTGTGTTTTGTAAAAGGAGGGGAAGCTTTTTTCTGGTTCGATGAACCACACAATGCTTTTCCTGTTAAGAGAAGACATAACAATGACAAAATGGAACAATGAGAATTAAAGGTATAGTTGTATTTCAATGCATGTGTAGATGTTAGGACTAGACAACTGTAAGAAACCTAACTATATAAATGTATCTGCTGTTGGTGTTGGTGTTGATTTAAGGTAAAAAAAAAATGGATTAAGTATTTGAAGTTGCTACATATAGCTGCAAACTAATACAGAATAACTTGAATTCATATGTCCATACTTATATATCTATATTTATACCCTTAGTTAATGCTTTAATCTATGCAATTAATGTGGCAGAGATAAACACGATAAAATATTTAAACGCAGTCAATGTAACTTTGTTTACTTCCAGTGTGCGTTGATCACTGCCAGGAAACCACTGCGTGCCTGCAGTCAGTTAGATCGGAGAGACTGAGACGATAGTTGAAGATGTAAAGAGCCTTTTGCACTGGTAAAAAATCAAAACAAAGCTGTTGCAAAAAGGTAACACAAACAGAGGTGCGACATACAGCAGAGAACTCTTCAGAGGAATTCCTTGAAGTGGCAAACGGACCACTTTAGGACTGATAGTGCCCCGAACATAAACAGGTAGCTGCTAGGCTACATCCATCTCAACATCTACCCTGCACTGCACACAGTCTGCAGAGGACAACCACTATGTCCCTAAAGGACAGTGGTTTGGAAAACGTCCTGGCTAAATGGCAGGAGATGGTTGGGCTCTTCAAACACAGCCGTCAAATTATGGAGAGTTGAGAGCACAGCAAACTGCACGAAGGGATCATTCATTCCTCACCAACTGTACTCAGCAAGTCAGGGTGAACAGAACCTTGTCTGAATCCTTGACCGTCAGGGGCATAACCCTGGTGACAAGTGGAGGTTAAAAGGGAGCAGGAGATAAATGTTTGGGATGAGTTGTTGGATGGGAAAAACGGCCACACGGTGCAGACAAAAGGATTTTTCGCCTCATCTATGTGTACACCAAAAACTGTGATATGATGGAATGGAAAAACAAACAATTGTGCTTAGCTGACTTTTAACCGGAATTACTACTTGTTATAACTCATCGTGAAGTACAGAAAGTTCTGTCAGTACGTTTACAAAATAGTTAGTAGTTAAAATGGTAAATATTTGATCATTTACTTAAAAACTGTTCAGAGTGTACTGTACCTTGATTTCATTGATATCAGTTACATTAGTTTTCAGTTGGATTATCAAGGTTCATTTCCTGAGAAGAAGCCACCATGTTTTCACCAGGACATCATGTACACAATTATCCATACAAACATGCCCCACTCTTGCACACCTTCTGTAGTGGGCTCAGTCATGAACCATTATCACTCTCAGCTGATTCTCCATTTTGTGTGACACAAAATCTTCTTCACACACACAAATGCATTTAGAACATCTCATTTCATCTCATCTTCACTCAAACAAGCATTTGCTGCCTTCCTCTGTCGTCTGTGTTGTAGTCTGTGTTTGACAAAACATGTGACATGTCAGACATGTCTTAACACAATGTTAAGACATGATCTTGGGCTTAGGGAACTGTTTTGATATCAATCAACCATTCCATTAATTGTCATCATTTTTTTAAAATCATTTTAACAAGATCATTTCGGACTTGGGTCTGTGTGTGTCATGGCCCCTTCCTGACTGTGTGTTTGCGTTGAGTGACGTCTACCAACAGAATCATGGACCTGTATTACCAGAGTCAGACCTGAGGGGGGCAGCTGTGTTCATGTTATGCAGGAGGCAGCAGCTTTTTGGTCAATTGATGGTGACTGAAGCCAATGTGAAATGTGTTTCATTGTTAAGAATATACAGTTCATATTTCAGCAGCTGTAATTTCATTAGTATGTTGCATATATATATAGTCTCAGCCTTTTTATTTTGTACATTTACCTGCTACTTTGTTAGAACTTAAGACTACCAAACAATGTGAATCAACTGGCTGTATTGTGTACTATTTACAGTAATCTATATAATGTCCATAATGAAATTGATTTACAGCAGAATAAATCTTAAGTGAAATGCTTCACTTAAACATCATGCTTCCACAACAGTATTTCTCTGCATCATGCTGATACTAGTAGTGATGAACTGCTCCACTTAGGCTTGAACTGTAGTTCGCCCCACTAGGCAAATAAGTGGTTGAAGGCTTTATTAGATGATCCGCGGTAACACCTGGACATGGCAAAGGCCCAAAAGCCCCATCGTTCTTGAGAATAGATGTACATATCTTTACAATGTGGGCTAATAGAGTAGTGGCAGTAATTTGTCCAAGCTCCTCTAAGGATTTTTCAATGTTGGTATGATGCTGAGGATTCAGAACATGGTAAATGGCAGAACATGACAGTTGATTTACTAAAGGAATGACAGTTCTCTTCCTTTACACTCTGCCTCACTAACCAAATTAACTCATTCAGTGCACCAGTAGGTCACACCCTCCTCATTAGCTCAATCACCTGCCCACCATCATAAATGGCATCATACACTGAATGGAAATATTATCAACAGCAAAATACTAAAAACTGCAGCTTTGTCTAGCCTGTTAAACATTCTTATACACATTTACAGTTCATTTGAACTGCATGAACCCACCTGTTGGAAAAACTTAACCTGAAAAACTTGCCTGAGTGGACAGAAGATCCGTGATCTCTTGTTCTGGGACATGGTTCAAATCAATTCAGGATCAGGACAGTATCCCAGAAAGTCCTTTTACAGAGCATATTTGTTTAGGTGTTGTGATGAGCGTCCCAAGCCCACATCAGCGTTGCCCTGGAACCTACAAGGAACACCTGCTCACCACTCATCACGAGCTGAGTGGCCACACCTGCAGCTCGTCAGCTCCGCTGCATTTAAGCTGCAGGTTCAGAAGGAACAAGGAGGCCCCCTGGAGAAGACGTAAGGCTAACCCTAGTGTGTGCCGTTCGCGACGGTTGTAAATAAACCTTGCCCTCCGGGGACGTCATCTGAGCTGTTGTGTAGTCTGTTCCTTCCACCCCGCCACACTGGTGGAGAATGCGGGCGTACTGAGTGGGAGGCAGCATGCGCCAGCAACAGACGACGGCAACGGCACCCCGGCCGACGACGGCAACGGCACAGCGTCCGACGACGGCAATGGCACAGCGGCCGACGACGGCAACGGCACAGCGGCCGACGACGGCAACGGCACCCCGGCCGACGACGGCAACGGCACCCCGGCCGACGTCTACGCGGGCAACGGCTCCCCGGCCGACGTCTACGCGGGCAACGGCACCCCGGCCGACGTCTACGCGGGCAACGGCACCCCGGCCGACACAGGCACCCCGGCCGCCGACGGCAACGGCACCCCGGCCGACGTCTACCTATTATTCCACCAGGCCAGGACAACGCTTAGGGGGGGGAGTGTGATGAGCGTCCCAAGCCCACATCAGCGTTGCCCTGGAACCTACAAGGAACACCTGCTCACCACTCATCACGAGCTGAGTGGCCACACCTGCAGCTCGTCAGCTCCGCTGCATTTAAGCTGCAGGTTCAGAAGGAACAAGGAGGCCCCCTGGAGAAGACGTAAGGCTAACCCTAGTGTGTGCCGTTCGCGACGGTTGTAAATAAACCTTGCCCTCCGGGGACGTCATCTGAGCTGTTGTGTAGTCTGTTCCTTCCACCCCGCCACACTGGTGGAGAATGCGGGCGTACTGAGTGGGAGGCAGCATGCGCCAGCAACAGACGACGGCAACGGCACCCCGGCCGACGACGGCAACGGCACAGCGGCCGACGACGGCAACGGCACAGCGGCCGACGACGGCAACGGCACAGCGGCCGACGACGGCAACGGCACCCCGGCCGACGACGGCAACGGCACTCCGGCCGACGTCTACGCGGGCAACGGCACCCCGGCCGACGTCTACGCGGGCAACGGCACCCCGGCCGACGTCTACGCGGGCAACGGCACCCCGGCCGACACAGGCACCCCGGCCGCCGACGGCAACGGCACCCCGGCCGACGTCTACCTATTATACCATCAGGCCAGGACAACGCTTAGGGGGGGGAGTGTGATGAGCGTCCCAAGCCCACATCAGCGTTGCCCTGGAACCTACAAGGAACACCTGCTCACCACTCATCACGAGCTGAGTGGCCACACCTGCAGCTCGTCAGCTCCGCTGCATTTAAGCTGCAGGTTCAGAAGGAACAAGGAGGCTCCCTGGAGAAGACGTAAGGCTAACCCTAGTGTGTGCCGTTCGCGACGGTTGTAAATAAACCTTGCCCTCCGGGGACGTCATCTGAGCTGTTGTGTAGTCTGTTCCTTCCACCCCGCCACAGTGTAAAAGTCTTTCTATTTATGAATGACAACACTGTCTTTCCCCTGGTGGGGAGGTGACCAATGTAGTGCTGATAGAGTTAACCAAGTGTTCTTTTCCATCTCCTTCAATCATGGACACAACAATGCTCTCGCTCTCTCTCGCTCTCGCTCTCTCTGGTGGCGAGCGGCGTGGTGGTCCGCGGGGCGCACGTGCCAGTTTTTCCACTTGCCGTGCCGGCTGTCAGGGTGACGGTAGCGACACGTTCCGCCGTTTGTCCCGGACGAAGCGCTGCTAGAGGACTGGCGAAACACGGGAAGGTGGTGTCCCCGCTAATGGAAGATGTCCTCAGGGTGCAAATCACCCTTGCTGAGACATGTGGTCTCTCACAGGAGACAGACCCACATGGTCCTCACCAAAGCCCAGGCTCTCAGCCTGGTGATTAAGGTGAGGAT